AGAAAGGATTTCGGTACCTGTGTGTAAGCAAATGAGCGATGGAGTTGGCGTCCCTCTTGAGGACTCCCACTTTCCTCTTTATTGATGATCCTTCGTACACATCAACTTCAATTCCGGCATCTGCATCATCCTCATCAACCTCTTCCTCGTGAGCTTCGGCATCACCATGTCGATGTGGGACTGACCCAACATCTACAGGTATTTCCTCAGCTACGGGAGGCGGACGTACCGGACCGGCTCCTCCGGGTGGTCCGAAGTCGAATGCACCATCATGGTGTCCGCCCTCGGCCTCTGCGGATTCACCGACAGCGGCGGGTGTGACTTCGTTGTCATCGTCGCCTTCTTGATCTGCCGCATCGTTCGTTACCATTGCCAATACTTCCGAAAAGTGCTCCTTGAGGTCGTCTATCGTAGGGCGATGCCTGTTACTCCGGAGCTTACCATCACTCACGAGATACGGGATGTCATCCTTGACTTGCAAGTGCACGAATCCCTGCTTTGGAGTGACCATGAAAGGTAGTTTACCAGGCATCCAGTGAAATGCATAACCCATCTTCATGCATCTCCTCCCCACTGACAATACCGTGGGTGTCTCATCCAACACGTGCGGCTCGACAGTCTCGTCCAATTCGTCCACGACTATCTTGGCCACGTCGGACGTGGAAGTGGAACCATTCGCGGTTTGGAACACAATCTCGTCATCATCTTTCACGATGTCGACACCCAGGCTCTTTGCCTTGGCTCGTCCGATGAGATCATGACCACATCCGGTGTCCATCAACCATTTCACCCGTTTACTGATGCACGTTGACATGGCGAAAACGTTCTTCGGCAAACCATGCTGCTTCTTCCAGTCGACGGCCGATTCCTTGATCTCGTCCTTGTTCCGATCATATTCGAACATTATGCTGCTCTCCTTGGTTACTGGGAAGTAGTGCTTCTTGTACACATCGTCTACCACCTCTCTCAGTATCCTCGCTCTTATCAATGATCGTTGGACTTGATAGGCTGATAATTCTCGATGATCACTGCTCTTGAACTTCTTCTCGTCGACGTACACGTACTGATAAGGCTCATTCTCATTGTCCTCATAACCGTGCCATTCCCCTTTTCGTTCCCATTGCCTTCTCTCGTCTTCGAGATAGGTGATCTCTCCATTCTCGTCGACATCGAGTACTTCCTTGAACCACACCATTTTCTCGGGGATCTCGGACTCGCCAGACCATCTCGATGATTCGCTCATCGCGTCGTCATCATGCTCGTGGTAGACAGTCTCGGCTTCATCCGGTTCGACCTGGTCAACGTCCTTCTTGAAGCTGACCTTTCCCGCAGGAGCCGATTGCTTCAGGACTATCGCAGGCATCGCGACGGCCCTTCTTACAATAGCTGGCGCTGCGGCCTTGGCTGCAGCTTTCGACTTGGCTTGCGCCTTGTCGCTTGACGTTGCCGGAGCTGAATTGTTCTTGATGAGCTCGTGCCTGTACTTGCAAGCACTCCCTCTGTCGCACTTTCCCTTCTGAAACGCGAAACATGCTCCATCATCCCTCTTTGGTGACGATGATCTGGATTTGGACTTACCTTTTCCTTTCCCTTTGGGCATGTTCTCCAGCTTGTGCTCCGTCTTCTTGCTGTGGGAAAATGTGCATTCATTCCCTTTCACGCATCCCTTCGCCGATTTGAAGTGATACCAACAGGGGTTATCTTTGCCTCCGCCCGGACTCTTGCCTCTGTCGCTGGCACCGTCGGACTTGCCGTTCTTGCCAGCGTGGCCCTTTGCTTTGGCCTTTGGGAGTACAGGAGCAGCATCAGGTCCACTGGGTTTCCCCTTTCTGCCTTTGCCACCCTGGTTCTCCTGTTTGCCAGTGGCTGGGGCTGCATCCCTGCCGCCCGACTTCATCATCGACTTGACCGATCTCTCCTTCATGTCAAGCATCAGGTCCTCCCGATCCGCCTTGATCTGATGGTCGATCAATGCCAACAAGAATTCGTACGTCTTTTGAGGATGCTTGTCCGGCAGTCTATGGTAGGCATTGAGGCCGAATTCCATCTTCTTGCTCCCCTTGATCTTCCTGTAGAGGATATCTCTGAGAGCCAATTTACTGGGTCTGTCCTCGCTCCTCATCTTTAGCAGCAAATCATACCACTTGTTCCTGAACATAACCAAGTTCTTGTCTCCAGGAAAGTCAAGGTTGAATAGGTGCTCGATGTGGTAGACAAGATCCGTTCTATCAGACGTTCTGAATGATTGCATAACCAATGCCACCAACTCTCGTCCCTTCACGATCACCCCTTGTTGATGTCGTAGTTCCGAGTGTCGCGTAGCGTCGAGGTACACATCTTTGGCTTCGTCAGGTGCTTGTTTCAACATATTCTGCATGCCCATGGCCATCTTGATATCTATCGTAGCAAATCTGTCGCCACCTGAATCGCTAAGCATAGTCAGGTCTGGGTTTAACCCAAGAGCTTGTTCCAACCATTTCGTCCATGTGTCGGTATCTGGATCTGCGCATGCGCTCAGAACATTCATCAGCAGTTGCATCTTCCAGTTATCAAGTTGCTGGATCTTTGGCCAAGTAGGAATAGATACCCTCTCGGCTTCTTTCCTCGAGATCCTCGGTCTTTCGTTCTTGACCTCTCGATCATCCCTCGATCTTCTGCGCCTCCTCCGTGTTCGATTGTCATCTTCTTCCTCTTCTTCTTCCTCGTCTTCTTCATCCTCTTCGTCGTCGTCGTCCTCGTCCTCATCATCGGGTGGGTCATCCGGAGGTCCTCCTCCGCCACCTGTGAGGCTCAACTGACGTCGACTTGCTCCCTGCCTATTTCCATTAGGCGAGAATCCACCGTAATCCAATGGGGGTGTAGTACCGTTGTTTCCCCCTCCATCACCACCACCAGTCGTAGTAGTGGATTGTGGGACATGTCCGACAACCCCTTGCATCTGGGATAGGTGTACATCGATCATTGGATCACCAAAAGACGGAAAGAGAATCGAACCTGGCATTAGCGACGAATTAGGGGTCAGATTTGAAGACGATGACGGGACTAACCCAGCCACCCTCTTGTCTACCCTAGTTGAATTAGCTTGGGGCCCTCCCTCAGCGCGTTTCACTACTGCTCGTTCACGATGACCATCTTTACTGCTAGAGGCTTCCTGTGTCTCCAGCTTCTTGAGTGCACGTAGTTCCTCATTGTCAGCATCGAGTTGACGAACAAAACTCTCTTCTTGCTTGAGTGTCGCCTCCCTTTCCTTCAGTTGTCCCTGAAGCTCATGCATCTCCTCAAGGTACTCATCATACACTCCCTTAGCTGTCAATCTCCAGTACTCAGCCTCCTTCGACTTCTCGTCCATCGTGCACCGTTCTTCTTGTTTTGCTTCTTTGACCTGGGCTAACTCCAAGATCGCATCTTGACGATGACCACCCTCGATAGCAATCATCTGGTCCTTCATCGACACGTCGGATTCGTACTGTTTGACGATCTCTTCCTTCTCACGAAGCAAGCAATCTGCTCTCTTTGGTTCTTGTTCCGCGAATACTGTAACGTCGTTCAGTCTCGCCATCAGCTGTTCCCTGGAGTCCTCCATAGAGTACGTCTCGGGGCGTTTGACGAGTGCGTGCTCCAACTGTGATTTCAGCCTTTGGACCATCTCCTCCTCGTTGAACTTCTCGATAGATGTAGACGATTCGATGCCTCTGATCTGTTGCTGATAAACTGATATTTGCTGCGAAGCTTCACGGTGTATCTGATTTGCATGTATAGCTGACTCCTGCGCGGCCGACTTCTCGCTTGCCATGTAGGATTTCATCACTGCAATCTCCCGCTTCTGCTCCATGATAGTTCCTTCAGCTTGTCTCATCTGTTGCATTATAACATTCGACTCCATGTCTTTCTTTTCCCCGTACTGATATGCGTTCATTTCCACCTTGCGCATCTGTTGGGCTTCCTCCTCAAACTTGCGCCATGCCTCAGCCATGTGGTGTTGGTGGTGACTCACTAGATGTCCCGACTGCTTGCTGGCAATCTCGCATCGTCTTTCCAGCTCCTGGATCCGGATGGTGCTCCCATAGTCTTCTTGATGAAGATTCGCCATCGCTGCCGACATTTCATCAAGTGTCTTTTGATATTCCCCGATCTCCATCTCCATCTTGTTCTTTTCCTTAATCGCGGCGCGAAACTCAGCACTGGTGGGTGATTTTGACCTCCCACCTTTTGATGTTGACCTCACGCCCTTCTGCGACGTCCGTGGTGTCGCAGGCGAAGATGACGATCTTCTCGGTGGGGATTCTCTTTATTCGACTCCTGATGAACATCGATCTGCTTCCATGATCTTGTGGGAGTGGATATGTCGCTGAATAGCGCGGATCCTCCGCTCCCAGGTTCATCCTGTGAATCTGCGATCATATCCATCACCGCAGGAAGAGCCATCAATCCACTAGATCCCTCTGAGCTGCTGTTTCCAAAAGTTGCAGTACTTGGGCTCGCTGAAGATGCCATTGTACTGTGTAGGTTATTGTTCCTTTATTGTCCCTGTACCCGCAATAAACCAGCTGTCTCTCTGTCCAGTGTAGAGCTTGTCGATACGGCTGATAACCTGTCAAGAGACGGCAAGGTGACGTCCCGTGGGACGCTGTGCACCGAACCCTCCAGCTGTAATACCAACCACGTAGAAAGGTGTATACGGTCGAAGCCGTTATAGCCGAACCCGTGTAAACGTTGTAAGGGAGAAGGAATAATAGTTACAACAGTGGTCCTGACAAATGCAGCGCAAGCGAAGTGCTTTCCGCTCTCAATGCCAATCACGTGTGAACGCAGCTACACATCAGATCTTGAACCTCACTTGTGTCTTGAGCCAAATGGCGATCAATGGAACTTGGTAAGCAACACAAACACAGACCTCAGAACTGCTTCCCAATTTAGGCACGGGGCCTAGAGGGTTTTAACAGTTCCTCTATTCCCAACATCAGCTGCCCTGCGGCGACTTGCCGGGGTGCCGCCCGCGCCTCGCAGAAGTTCTGCAAGGAGCCCAGCACGCCCTCGTCGCTGTCCAGCAGCGCCTTCCGCCGTATTCCGTAGATCACCTGGTCAGCAAAGGCAAGCCGTCTACCCGAAAAGGGGACAATCCTTACATCATAAAGCACCCCACGAGAAGGCCATTTTGAGCAACACTCCTCTTTTTTGAAGGGAGGCTATGCTTGATACCCTGAACCAAGAGTGAGCTCATTTTACCAGGTGCGCGTTGCCTGCCGTTGCTGGTCCAACACCTCGTCGTACTTGAACACGTCCTGGCGTCGGGCGGGTCTTGTCGTTTTGGGAACACTGCCGCCCAAAATGTTCGAAAAAGAATGCCGTGTCAGCCTGACATGTGTGGACCAATAATCAACCCAAGTCTGAAGCAAAGAATCGCGAAAAGGGCTGTTTGAATGGTTCCTTCACATGCTTGGCCAAAGTGTTAGGGTGGCTGGACCATACTGAAGGATACGATGCGCTCTGCAAGCGGCAGTAACCACCCCTCAATTGCTTTGCATGCATGCAACTTCGGCATATCAGTGAAGCGATCCCATCTTCTGCGACCAGCACGAACTGCTCTGCATCAGTATCATTCGTCCTTGCGGATGCCGAAGAAAAAGCCTGACAAGCGCTGAATAGTCGTGCAAACATGGCTGCGCAAAACAAAAAAAAACATGTTGAGTCTGAGGCATAGATATGGATTGCAAGGGCAGCAACGAGCAACCTACGCAACCATGCAGCTCGTTTCCCGTGTCACAACACAGTCTCAAAGGGCATGTGTTACAACCCCCATCCAGTTGTTTGGTTGCTGATGCTTGCCCTTCAAGGCTTTCGACGAAGTGAGCGCCCCATTTTGAGACAAACCCCCCATCGCAGCTTCAAGGTTCCCAACTAGCCCATGCCAAGCAACTCTGCACCTGGTTCTGGGCTTCGTCCAAAGCACCCGAGATCAGTGGCGAGACGATGGGGACATCGTCCGCACCGCCCATCTCTGCAGTCAGCGCACGCACGGCGTCGCCGCCGAAGACCCGGAAGACCTGTAGTACTCAACGTTTACGTCGTCTTTTGCGTGCTGTGTGGTTGGTGTGGGTGGAAACCAAAGAGGTGCTAGCATTCACGTTGCTTCGCGAGGGAATGACGCAACTGCAGAAAACCTAGCCTCACACGATCCTGCATTTCCAGCAATCGAAGTTGAGCAGCTGTAAGTAGTGACCGCATTTTGCCGCAAAATTGTCATCACTCGCAGCCACACCCCCAAAACCGATCTCGCCTTATCCCCCAGGCTCAGGTAGAAACGAGAGCTGCCAGGGTCGCCTGCGATTGCAAGCGCCATTTTGGAGCACCATTGGCCGAGCACCAGCTGCGTTTTCCGAGGAACAGGTAAACAGTAAGAAAGCGCTGCATACAGCCAAGCGTTTATGATCACACTGTTCTCGTCGGCGAACTTTGAGCGAACCCACTGACAGACCAAATAACCATGCGAGCCAGGAAAACCAAAAGCAGGAACCAACTATTTGGGGGCTCCATTTTTGCTATTCTCTGCAAATTGGAACGGAACCAAAAAGGTGGTACCCCAAAAGAAGATCCGTCGAAAAACGATAGCGATTTGGGCTTCACGTTCGTCTGCTGGAGAGCATTGACGAAACTAGCGCCTTGTCGACCAGCGCGACCTCGCAGCTGGTTATCAATGCGCCTGGCCTGCGGCAAGGTCATGGAAGGAGTTGCTCACGTTCATTATTTTGTTTGTTGCAAATCCTTCCAATCGAAGTTAAAATTATGGATCTTCGTAATCAGAGACATTCGTGTCGGGAAAGTTGGCAAAGTGGAAAGCATGAATGGGGCTGCTCCCGGGAAGGGGGAGCAGGGAACTCCACCCGAATTCTATAGCTTCGCCTATGTGGGAGAAGGCATGGTTGTTGAACCAGGTTCGGACAAGTTGAACTGCAAGAGCAACACAATGAAGGGTTGCTCCATGATTGCCCAAGCCCAGTAGTCAAATATTGGTGCGGAATCGATATTCATCACCACGTGATGGGCAAACACGGCAACATGCCGCAGTGCATAATCATGATTCTAAATCGGTGCTGGCTACGTGGATTTTCATTCACCGCGAACCGGCATTGTTTGACATTGAGGCGCATGCTCTGGAAATTCGCATCATCTTGCCGCTTTGACGATGGTTCTGTTCGACATATCTTTGCTTTAGACATGGCTTTTGACATGCTGAGCAGTTTGCGGTCTCCAGGCGGCTCTTCCGCGAAGGTGGCCTGTCCTGTGCCGCCCCCGCTACTGGTTCAAACCCCAGGCAAACACAAACACTTTTGAACATGTTGGTTGCCGTGACCCCTGAAACAAGTCGCCCAATCAAGACGGTGTTGGATTCTTTCTGGAGCAGTCAGGAGTGTCCGAGACACGAAACCTCGGCCTCGTGGCGTTCCGTGCCGAGCACGCAAAGGCCCCCTAGCTGCGCCACCTGAGTACCCTCTTGCCTGCAGGCAGCAGCCAGCAGCTCGGCCGCCTGCGAGCGAGATGGTGCCCTTTTGTGGGGCGGAGGGAAACCAAACGCCCCTGTTCTCACACATGCCCACATTACATACCCTTTAGGTAATGGCGACTAGTTGTGTCTCCCCCTTCGACACCCTGGAATTGCGGCTTAGGGGTGGTGGAAACTATCTTAGTTGCCTTCTGGAGTCGCCGGCATCTTCCCCACAAAGAAGGCACGCCACAAACCTTCAATACTCAATACACGAAAGCCATAGCAAAGATGGCTTGGTGAGGCGCAAATTCTGCATCGGGATGCAATGTTTGGGCCCTTGCTATTGCGCTGAGTACATGACTTCCGTGATTTCCCTGGACTGTTTCTTGTTTAAACAATTTTCAAGTAGAACGACGGGTACAAGCCACTGGAACATTCAAATCTCACCGGCATCACTATTGAAATTGACTTGCTGGTGCTCAGCAGGGAATGAGGGAATGACCCTTACAAACCATCCCGTGTGGTTTCCTTTAAGGGGACCCCCAGGTTCATTCCCTCATTCCCTACTGCTCGCACCAAAGGACAGGCTGGAACGCCTTCAAGTTCCCAGGCGCCTTGCGATAAATCTCCTGGAGGGAGCCCAGAGATGCTCGGAAGGCACTCGGGCTTGAAGGCTCCTGACAGGGACTCGACCCGAAGATGTGGATGTGTGCATATCAACATATTACATATTAATATATGTACAAGCATGTGATGAACTGCGTACATGTACTATGCATTAATTATACTCTATGTGCGCTTGCCGAAAACCAAATCAGGAGCTTGAGAGTTAGCCTTCAGCTTAAAGTGCAGCTGCGACACGACACTATTTACCTCTTGGCACATGGCAGTGCCAAGGTTCTTGGTTCATGCGAACCGTGGCTGGTTCAATCGCCAGTCCGCGCCTCAAAGCCATCGCACACCGCTGCAAGCGCCGCCTCCCAGCTCGCAGTGCTGGGAGCATTGGCTGCCACCATCTGCAGGCATGAGATGGCAAAAGCGTGACGCCCGGGCAACTCACGCAAAAGTCTCTTGGATATCTCTCTCACGTTAATGTTTGAATGATTCGAACTACTGTGGAGCTCCCAAACCAGCACATTGAGGGCGTCATCACACCCTGGAACACATGGAGAGCTGGCTTGTGACAGTGAAGCAAAGACATGACTCGTCTACTCGACACACCACTAGAAGTCTCTTCCGCCCAGCTATAGAGCATCTTCTCCTTCAAACCAGCCACCTTCTTGCAAATGCCTGAGAACGTCCAAACAGCCAAATGTTTATTCCCTCACCTGCCCCAAGAAGAAACTTGCGACCAGGCTCAACGTGGCTATCAGTGGGAAACCTGCGCGTTTCAAAGTGGCTCTAGTATGCACTATTCATAGCATGGAACGATCAAAGAGGCCGAGCTGGCTTTGACGCATCTTCCTCAAACATGCAGAAATTGGTATGTGTCCAAATAGGGGGACCCCCCTAAAAATGTGGTTGTCCTATTGGAGTCACCTCAAACCGAGGTGAAAAGGCCACCCTCAACATCCACAATCCGCCCGCCTGTGCAGTGGCAGTCAGCTCCTCCTGCAGCTGCGTCGGCAGTGACCGCAGATCCGAGGCCGCCGGCGCCTGACGCGGATCCAGTGGCTGAAACGTCCCCGTCTGGGTTGTTCGACCTGGGGGGGGGTTCCGCAATCATGGGAAAAAGTGTGGACACCACGAGGGTGTTTTTTGTTTTTCATCTTCATCGATGAAGGCCCTTTAATGTTGAAGAACTGGTGGTTTTCGTCGAACGAGTGGTCGCGAGCACTGGATGCTGTGCCCCTAGCCTAGCGCCGAGGCCTGGAAACCAAAGGCCCCCGAGTGCCGAAGACATGTGTGCTTGCCGTGAGGCCAAGCTTGAAATTGCTTCATGCCATGCATCAGCATGCGTGTTGCACATAATATCCGCCGCTCAGATTTGCATAGAACCAAGACAGCAGAATAAGACCTGTCAAGGCTGCCCCTGTTTGGGTTCCTTGCTAAGTGGGCGAGTATATTAACGTGTATCAACATTACTTCATGCCCAGTTTGAGGCAGTGAGGCTTACAGCACATCTGCACATTGACAAGCCGCCCCTCGATACATGCAGCAAAGCTTCCAACTGCATAGCTTCAGGTCGCAGCATTCAAGCCAAATCAATGCTTTGTCTTCTTTCAACAAAGCAAGTGAACCTTTGCCACACTGGAAGTGAATGACAGTGGGAAACTAGAACGGAGTTCGTTCCAGCAGCTCGACAAGCCTACTTTCCTGTTGGCTGATCAGCGTGCCTTCAACATGGCCAGTGACAATAGAGCCTGGGTGTGTCTGTTTTGGAGCGTACCTTGTCGGGTTGTTTCGAAGTGATTTCGAGGGGATCTCCCGATCTCCCATTTTGGGGCGCCCTCCTTGACAAAATCTCGCCTCCTCCGCAAAAGCACGGCGCAGTGCGGCCTGCGAATCGGCAGATTCTATGCAACCTATCAAAACAGCTGCTTCACTGGGTGACAGCTACCTCTATTCCACTATAACTGACGTCACAAAGTCAAATTGAGTCGAAAGAGATGTACAACATGCCCGTCCCGCGCATGAGTCGAGACCAAGCAGCAGGTGCCTGAATGTGCAACTTTGCCATGGCTTGGCCGTCACCACCCAAAATAATGTCAGTTCCGCGTCCTGCCGTGGCCGAATCGCCCATGCAAACCCCAACAAGGACCAAGCTTTGTCACTCGGCACCTTCAGGTTCCATGTTGGCGGGCTGGAGGATAACTGAGGCCTTGCTTATTGGCCAAGTTGTGCTTCCAGCTGCTAGATGGCTGTTCCCAGGCCGTTCTATCTCATGCATCCATCAAAAAACAGCGTCAGGTAAAAACCACTCAGCTCCAGCATGGAAAAGGAAACGCCGCCTCTTTGCCTGCTCGAAACTCGGCAATTTCCGTTCAGCTAACTCACAGCCACAGCTGCATTTCGCACACCGCAAAGACTTTACCCACATTGGGAAGGGGGGCTAGCACGCGGGCCGCACTTCCCTTCATGAAGCCGCCAATGGAGATCAGCAGTTCAAGACACCCATGTCACTAGAGCATGCTTCATCACCAGCGTGTGCGCCACTTGGAGCGTCCCTTTTTTGAACTTTTAGCCGGGCCCAAAGGGAAATCACCCGTGTTGCCTCTTCCCTAGGGCTCTTTCAGCCCGGGCCGGACTTTTCCCCCAAAGCTTCTCCTGCCATGTTGGTGGAGATGGTCACGGCGCCCAAGCGCCCGCCAGCTGCAATAATCTCCTTGGCCCACAGATTTGTTTTGTTCTTCAACAACTCTTAGGACGTCATGTCATCAAAGGTGGCAACTTGGTGCCTTGTGTCCAGAAGCAGTTGGCATGTCTGGAATGTGTTCTCAGTCTAAGCTAAGTGTCTGCCTCTCTTGCCGCATTCTCCGGCTTAGCATTGAGAAGGTGGTATGGTATGCCTGCGTCATCCAGGTGCCTCGCAAGCAGCTCAGAATTCCTCGGCTCGGCTGTGATCGATTCAGCATCATTCAAGGGCAAATGTCCTTCACAAAGGGTACACCCCTTATAGGTACCCCAGTTGTCTGAAATCGCACACCATCATATTGTACAATTTGTTGGGCCCAGTTGGCATCGTCTCAAAATTTGGAAACCACACGACACACACACACACACACGTACCTAACGAATAATCCCACAGTCAGGATTTACGCCCTACTCCCAATTTCATACAACTATACAATGTGTTTGCCTTACAAAGGGCAACTCCTCGCAAGCTGCATGTTCTAGATTCAGACCCCATCGAAAACTTCGAAAGCTGCGATCTACCTTTTGGCGGACGTCGCGCCGTGGAACTATGCCACTGCTTCTAGCAGCAACGCCCCCTGTTGGGTAGTCAAATTGCCTCCACCAGCGCTGCAACGAGCTGAGGAGTTTTGCTCACCTTCTCTTTGGCCTTAGATGTCTGGAGCATGTGAGTGCTACAGCGAGACACCAAGAACTTCAGTACCCAGTCTCCCCTGACAATAACACGAAAGGCAAAGGAAGCTCCTCAGTTCAGGCCTGTATGCACGTCTCTTTCTTCATTGATTTCTTTCTTTCCTTCTTTCTCTCTCTCTCTCTCTCTCCCTCTCTCTCTCTCTCTCTCTCTCTCTCTCTCTCTCTCTCTCTCTCTCTCTCTCTCTCTCTCTCTCTCTCTCTTGTTCTTCTCTTTTTTTTTCTTTCTTTCTTCCGTTGCATCCCGAGACAAGACAGCACAGCCAATTGCTTTGCGGAAAAGTCTTGACAAAGCTGCACATAGCTGCACCACTCAAAGGGGCACAAGACTTGGACAAACAGGTGCCAGAAGTCGCAGCGTTTGGCGGCTGGCGACCAAACGCCAAATCATTGACAAGCAGCTTCCTCCAGGATGCTGTGAATTAAAGAAATGGCCCGATGCTTCCTCAGCTCCTGGCAGACACGCTTGCGCTGCGACTTGCATGCTCTCGCAATGCCTGGTTGGGCAACAAGGGGATCTGAAGACTTGCGCAAGGAGGTATACATCAGGGTAACGCGTATGTGGTTGATCTCATAAACGCAAGCTGCAAAATCCTGCAACGAAAGCCCCTGGCCTAAGAGAAAATGCCTCTCAGTCCTGACCATATGTTGCGCCCCAGCCGATGCAACCAGAGGAGTGTGAGCTGGGGGAAACTCCAAAGTGAATGGATCCTGGCCCGCAAACATGAAATAGTTGTTGGCCACAAGAAGTGTTGCTGGATCAACTCGGCTGACTTAAAGTTGCGCGTGGTGAACCACAGGCCAAACAGTTCGCCGGAAACCGTTGCGCTCCCGCAAAATGTCGACCACATTCTCCGGGCACATCATCTTGGAGAGGCTCGCAGCGCAGGACTCTGCCAGTTGCGTAAGTCCATACTGATTGCCTCACTCCGTTGGGGTGGACATCCGGGATGGCCATGTCAAGACTCCGTACACATGCGGGCCATGGTCATGGCTTTCTCAAGCAGACCCCTAATTACATTGGCCGTAGCCGATGCCGATGAATTTGGGGCTCTGGTATGCCACAGTCGGGAGTGTTGCTCAGCAGGCCAACCGCAGGTGATTCAGCTGCCAAAGAGCAGCGGCATGCTGCCAGCATAGAACGGCGGTTTCCCAAAATAGAGGACCACCCTCTAAATCAACTATGTTAAAGGGAAACGCAAGAAAACCGACCATCTTTCAGGGTCCCCCAGTTTGAGAAGCACCTATAAAACTAATGCAGCGACTTCAGTGAGTAACAATGACCATGAGGGACCATCAATGACCAATGCCGGCAACCATCCTCCCAAAATGCAGCCTGCACATCTGGTTGGTTTGAATCCAAAGGACAAGCTGCCCACATCCCCTGGCCCTATGCCAAGAATCCGAGACAAATCAGCTCCCCCAGCTGCTGCACAGAGCTACTCTCAGGCGCCTCACCAGTGTAGATGTGCCTGGCACTTGGCTCGCCCCTTTAACCTCCCAAGGGCCCACTGAGGGGATGTGTGATTTGAGCAAACTACTCGAAATGATGAGCGAATCACATGTCCAACTGCGCAAATAGAGACGTCCAATGTGTCATTGAATCTCCCTGCTACACAGCTCCAGCCTTTGGAGCTTGCAACTATTCGTAGGTGTGCGCGTGTGTCTGTATCTATGCCATTTGTGTGCATTTGTGCATGGATTTGCGTGGCATAACCCCTTCTCCATCCTTCTCCGTTCATTAAATCGATTAAATGAGGCTTGTTAAAACGTGTTGCTTCCCAGAAACTTGTCACGACCTGGATTTCTTAGAATGAAGAGCTGTGAACAATCGTGTTGTGGCGTTCCGCTAAACATTGCACATGAGTTGAAACCCATGTGTGGCGGGGTTCGAGTCCGTGCCGCGCCCATATCCGCGCGCCCCGAAATCCTCCCTGTCGGGGACGCGCCGATTTCCTCCCCCTGGGCCCCGCCAAGGTTAATATCGGGGTATCGGTCCATTGGCAATCGAATCTTCCGAGCACAACAGCCCTGAGGACAAATTGTGTTCGTCTTCATAGTCCTGATAGGTCCTGATAGTGGTCGATCAGAAATGCCTCCCTTGCAAAAGCAAAACATCTCACTTTCCTCTGCCAGCAGTGTCGATTTGTGCAGGTTGGTTGGTACTGAAGCTGCACGCTCCATACTTTTGGTGTTAAGCCGGCCCCATCAACTGCCGGCAGAATGCGGCAATTGATTGACGCAGCCCAACATGGTCGTACACAAGGTTGCAGGTTGCGTTCAAAATCTTCAGGGTTTGTCCTTTCTTTTAGATGGAAATGGAGAGCCAGTCATCCGAAAGGCTTTCCGTCCATTGGCGTCACAAAATTGGATAACCCTTTTTTCCTCATGGTTCCTCGGATTCACCACCCAAACCAAAGCATGGCCTATGCAGTCTCTTCCAGCTACCCTTCCTCCCTGAAACCTTCTGCGACAACCAGCTGCTGGCGAGTCTCTCTAACATCTTCTGGAGCGCATCAGTGCCTGAGCCCACAATAGATTCTTTGCCTGCAGGCAATTTGCTGAGACCAATCCCAAAACCATTTAAGCCCAGGATATGCGTTGCCATGGGTGCAACGCCTCGCAAGTGCAATCCGGGAGAAAGTGAGTGGCTTCAATTCAGGCTCATCAACGAATCACCTGAGTGCTTGCTTCGCTAGCATGCACAAAGCACGGAGTGTCTGTCTCACGCGATCAGCGCCCAAACGAATTTGGATCTATCTAGGTCACACCGCCGTGGCCTGTGTCGGCATGAGGATCTACAAACATGGTTTTACAGACTCATGTGGGCCGGTAGTAAACGCCACTCATTCTGAATCGGATTCCAACTCGGATTGACCTTGGGTGACCCTAAATGGGCTTAACTAACAAAGGGGTTCTAGGATGCTGGGCGCAAGCTGGAACCCTTGTCTTAGAACTCATTGAAGTCCCCGTGGTCCCCTGACAAGCTGGGCCCCAGTTCTTGGTTGGGTTCCAGCTGCTCGCGTTGCGGATGACGATGCGCTGCTCGATACCCTCCACCATCTTGGCACTGAGCATGCAGTCGAAGACCGCGCTGCTTCGCGCCAGCACTGCGCGGTGGCAAGGCAGCTCTCGGCCTCGGCATCGAAGGGATTCGGCATAGGGCCGAGATAGCCAAGGGTCTAAATCCTCCATCTGCAACTTCAGGTTCTACAAAAGTTCAGACACCTGAAGTGAGAACAAGTACAGGCCCTCAAGGACTAAACTCATTTTACGCTCGAATCCACGAAACTATTGGTGATTTGCGTTGTTTGTTTCTGTCTCCCCCTCTGCGTGAATGAACGCCACACCCTTATTGACACTCAGGGACCTCTATGAGAAAAAAAAAAAAACAAAACATTGTCACGGATGAGGTTGCAAACCCCCTTGTGAGGTTGATAGAAAATTCCCAGCCAAATGGCGCGCAGACCTTGTGAGGTTAGGTACAATAGCAACTAGAAAGCTATCTTCACGGCTACTTGCTTTGCGCATCAGCCAACTTCAGCAAGCTCAATTCGTCCGTCAAACAGTCCCTCATGTAGGGACATCTTTGTGATTCATAGCGCTCTCTGTGAGAATCACCACAGCAGGCCATCCCCTATAAGGTTTTTCAGAGACGCCCTCAGTATCACAAAAGAAAACACATGTTGCACGGCCATGTGTAGAAACAATTGGGGCCAGCCACCGTCGTCGCCGGCCCGCATCGTCATGTCTGTGAATTTCATGTCCTGCCAGAGATCCTTGCCAAAGTCCAATCGCCGCCGCTTGTTGGGCTCGTAGCCCAGCGACCGCGGGTCGCACCATAGGTCCACTGTGCAGTGCAAACATTCCCCAGGAGTGTATGCCTTCCTGGGCGAAGACGAACGCAACTTTAACATGGTCTAGGTCCTCCAGTAGAGAGGATAGAATAAGGGTACCCTTTTTTCCGTAGTCTATTTTAGTAGGGGAACCCTCCCCCAAAAAGGGCAAAAGGGTACTACTGGGGGACATTGTAACTGGAGATCAAAGGGCGCAAACTGATGGAACCTTCTCCCCTCCCATCCACTTTGCTCAAGATGTCTACACAGCCCAGTGATGGCCATTCGCACCAGAACCAGCGGGAAGTCAAAAACGCGATTGCATGAACCAGCTCCATGTGTCATATCTACCAGCGGTTGACATAACATCCCTTAAACCAGAAAACAGCAGGGCTGCCGATCAAAATGGTACACCAGCCGCATGACGCATCAACATGATCAACCATATAGACAAAATCGTTTGGAAACGAAGAATAAACAGACCACCGAAAACATCAGATTCAAAGCAACAACACCCGTCCACATAAGCCTTTCCTTCGAGGCGCGGGCTCAGCAAGGCTTCCGCCTTGCACAAAGCCTGCTTCAGTGTGAAGCAGTCGCTGCATTTCTTGCATCTCAGGCGCAGGTGAAATCCCTTCCTCGTGGGATACGGGGGAATGACAAGCTTCACACGTGAATCTAAAATGGAAATGGAACCGTTGGTGGATGGACATACATGCGGACTAATTTCCGCCAACCAATTTTGAGGGTGTTCATATCTCGTAGCCAAGCAAGCTGGAAGGGGCGCCGGGCTGAGCTACAACCGCCTCAGCTGGTAGTTTGGGGTGAGCAAAAAATTATCGGGGCGCTTTTCGGAAAGGACCCATTTCGGTCATGTTCTGTGGGGGGGGGGGGGCACAGGGTTGATAAGTTTGACAAACTCCCAGGTAGCTTAAACAACTGCAGCCAGCCTAAAACGCAAACAGCAAACAGTCCCAAGCATACCGAAAAAAAAACGGACTTTGTCCATTCTGTTGCACCCAAGTGAAACATCAGCCCACTAGTCTCCTTTTGAAGCCTTTTTGCTGGCAACCACATTTTGAATTGGAAAAAGCATCTAACAAGCGCAAGCACACGGTCATAAGGGCGGATTCTGGGTTCTGCTTTGCCTGCTCTGTCATCAAGAAGCCGCCCGCGTGTTTTTGTTGCGCGGCATGTAACCCTCAAAGTAAACACAGCAATGCCCCATTCCCTCCTCAGTGTATATATGGCATAGGCATAGGTGCTTTTGCTTCCTGTTCTCTGAAGGTGGCTCTGCAAGCTCCAAGTGAAACTTTCAAACGTTGTCTTTCAGTTTCCCGCCCAGGTCCTGACTTCAGTTTCATTCAGATAGCGGATGGTGATCCTGTACCGCACGTCACCAATTACCAGCTCATCAACCTTGCCACACAAGGCGTTGTTCAGAGTGTCCTCTGAGTCTGTGTAGATCGGAACGAACACCTCGCCATCACGGGTTCCACATCGGCCCCTACAGACATGTGGACAAAGCACCCTTTCTGTGGTACCAGCGCTACCCATTCACATGACTTGAACACTTCAAAGTGAGAGGTCCCTAGCCCTTCTCGCAGGCCTGTGGCAAGATTAAACGCTGACGCTTCAATTGGGTCCCTATGTTCCACGTTCTTTCCCAAAAGGATCCGGATTTGAAATCCATTACCACCTTCGAAGTGACGAGGCACCAGCTTAGCAGCCACTCCTGGCTCTTGTGAGGTGAAGCCGAAGCCGCGAGGGTAGACCTTCAGCAACACGCAATAGTTCCAAAGCGTACTCCTTAGCGCTCGAATGCGACCATTCACCAGACCTCCCCCAGCCGGCCGCACGATACTCTACATTCTTGCCGAGTGTCGCTGGGCTATCGACATGCTGACCCTCCAAGTACTGGTCTTCACTGTGCAGTGGCAGCTTGAAGTTGATACTGAGCGTGGGCTCGGTCTCAGACATGCCCCATAGCTGTGAGGACTCAATGTACACTGCAATGGTAACATGCCATTGTGTGTTTTCGGGATGGTAGCGCAGGCTAAGATGGTGGGACTATGTGCATATCTCAGCATGGCTGGCTGTCCCCCTGTCATGAGTCAAAACAACGGTGCAAGCAATCTCATAGGTCACTTGCTTGCTGCGCACCTTGTCTGTCATGCTTGTAATTTATTGAGCCTGTCTAGCTTGAGCAATCACAGCGCGCGACTCAGCACATCCCCTTGCCATCTGTTTGGCGAGCCTCATGGCAGCCAAGCCCTTACAAGCGGCACTTGTCAAGTAGGAGTTGAGGCGAACACTATGTCTGTCGGGTCATCTTAAGCCACCCTTCCATTGCCTACCAATCTGCCCACATTACTAACTTTCCATCTACTGCAAGCATCGGAATGCATCCGCATTCCAACACTTTCCGATCGGCTCCAAACCCTTTTAGAATGCATGCTAGCTACTACCATCAAACAAATAAATACATATACATATATTATATATGCGGGTGCATTCATACAAACATTCACCTACACGTACATGGAAGCCATCAACATACAGCCTGAAACGCAAGCTGGACCGATCAGAGATGCATGCCCCGAGATGGGGGCCTGCGTTCAAATGGAACACCGAAAACCTCGGCTTCCTTTGGTTTTCAGTTGGGTGTCCCGCCAAACTTCGCCAAACGGGACACCCTGCGAAACAAACAAAGGCCCGCTTCCGCGGTTCAGCCGAGCTTCTCTACGCTTGTAGTACCCACCAGCACCGGGCGCTGGGAGCCATGAGCCTTCCGCAATGGGCACATGGTTGGCCAGTCAAACGAAAGGATTCAAGGACCTTTCAAATACTATCGGGGAGGGGCTATGCGCTGTTACACCCCAAGAATTAAGGCGGGCTTATCCTTGGCGTATCTATAGCCTATAGCCCCTCCGTGGAGGTCCAATGGAAAACAGATTGCTCAACGACTCCAGGGGCGCCTACACATTTTTTCCACATCTCCGTTGCAAATCAAATGACCCCGGAAGTCTTGCCGTTGTTCTTATCTACTCCCGCCCCCCCACCCAAACAAACTCCAAGGGGGGAAGACGATGTTCATGGTTTCCAAACTGAGACTCATGTTCACAGGAGCAAGATTGAAATGTTTGCACGGTGTCTAATCTTGGGATTTTTCCGTCCACCTGTCCAGTCTTCTTTCGTCTTCCTATGTCTTCCTTCTTTAACACACCAACAAGGGTTCAACAGGCCCAGATGCTGGTGTTGTTTTGTTGAGGGTGCCTTTCTTTGGTCGTGTTAAAGGGAAGCCCAAACGAATTACCAATTGCGAGTGGGGCGGGGTTTGGTTGTGGGGTCTCTGGCAAATCCATACTGTCAGCGCATCCCCGCAAGGCCAGGCCTTGCAAATGGCCTCAGTGACAGCTCGCCACTTGCCAGCCTCTGTCGTGTAGACCTGGGACACACCAGTTCGGTGCCTTCTGTCCAGCGGAAGTGGACAGAAGGTGTCTTTTCAGAAGGATGGTAGTCGTTCAAAGCCCTCCTGTTTATGTTGATGATTGTTGGGAAGAGGGGCGCTTCAGCTAGTGACAGCTTCGTACCCGTTGCAAAGGCTGCCTTTGCCGACAGCCTTGTTAGACCATACTTGAGGTTCAGCCACCGGCACCTGCCCAATTTACGTACCAAGGAACACCAGATGTCATTTTCTTGCTGACTAACCAGTTTCATCAACATAGGTCAGCTTCTTGGAGATCCAGGCAACTCAAAGTCCATTCATCCGTAGACTTTTCTGCGGATTGATCTATGACAACAAGTTGTTTGTCAGAGCGCACCAAACCATGAATTTGAAGCCAGTGAATGGCTTCAGGTTCAAACATTGCATGTAAGGATTGTAGAATTGAGTTTGCCTTTGCCGCAGATTGGGCACGATTGGCCCCCGAGATGTTCCGAGTCACCGGCCTGGTCCTCCTCGTCGATGCGCTTGCAAGGTTTGTTGCAAGGGATAGGGTTCACCTGGCACACACGAGGGCGAAAAAAGATCCCCACCTCTGATCTTTGCCACAAAGGCCAGACAGCATCGTGGCCAGCTGTTCCCCTTCTCCAAACGGGCGAGGGTCTTCTCTTCAACGGCGGCTTCCACGGGGTGCCAGGGGTACCCCCTGCCCCCTGCCCTTCTCTGCCCGGGCTTAAGTAGGCAGCCCAGCGAAGCGGGGCCCCACCTCCAAGCCGTAGATGCTGTTAAACTCTTCTGCTTCAGTCGATGCAGTGCCAGTCATTCCTCACGATTTGGAAGCTCGTGTTTCCACTTCCCCCCTTCTGTTCAAAAGAACCATTTGGGTCGATCCACGCAAGGCGCATCCAACAGCTCCCCGGAGAATCAACCTAATGGAAAGGGAGAAAAACAATTGTGGGGGCCAACGAAAAACCTGCGCAAGCCTGTCTTCATGCAGCTTAGCCAAGTCAATCGAATGGGGGAAGTACTAATAGCATGCTTGTCATGCCATCTTTACACCAAACATGCCCCTTGACCAGCGTTTCCCTCGATAAATGGGGCCCTCCAGAATGGGTTGGTCCCCCAAAACAGCCTATCAACAGAAACCCAAAAGGGGCATCCCCAAAGCCAAATACCTGCATTCACCTAAGGAGCACTTATTCAACACACTTTTGGACCCTGAAATTCCCGTAGGGCAGACTGAGGGGTCGAAGTACGCGGAAGCTGTTCTCGCCCAAGTCTTGGTAGAAACTCTTGGGCAAAGATCAAAACCTAGCATGAGCAGCCTAAAGAGCAAACTGTCAGGCATTTCAGGGTCAGAGTCAGGAGGTTAAACAAAACTGTCAACGCTTCGAACCGATTCGTTGAAAAATGCCTCGTGCAAGCTCGGCCACATGCTCAAACACACGCCCGGCCTGACAGCTTCTTGTACAAGCGGAAGAGGCACTGATAAGAAATCGATGCCAGCACGATTGCCTGCCACATCATTCGCACACCAATGCAGAAGCCGGATTGAGGTCTCGCAGCTTCTGCACCAACAAGCAACGACAATACCATCTGCGTTGAGCACGGCTGCCAAACCAGCAAAGGGACTACTGACTTTGACCTAGGCCATTGACAGGGTGGAACTACCTACCCTGGGCAAACAAGAAAACGCCGCAAAGCAAACGGAGGTGCGTGGTTCCGTATTGACATCAGGTTGGCGCTTTTCCCAGTACCCTTTAACATCACCCTGCACAAAGGAACCGCATTTCAAAATGGCAGCCAACAGTGATGTTTAAGAAAACCCAAAGTGAATTGGGTTTGCCTGCAAATTGAGGACCCCACCCCGAAAAACATGAGCGGTTTGCCTGTGGTTTCTTCTTCAAGACAAGCCGGAACGGGTAACCTCAACTGCCAAAATAAAACCCTTCCCCCGTAGTCACCCTTGTTTCCCGTCACCGACATCTTAAAGCATCCAGGGTTCCATTTCAGGGGTGGCTGATGGGTGATTTCATGTGATTTTCTCAAGGGAAACCGGGAAACCGCTGGGTCACAGTTATTGTTGGGAGCAGCAGGGACCCTACAACCCTCCCAAAAGGCTTGATAAGCTTTATCCATGCCAAATGAGGCGCAAGATGGTTGTAGGCAAACTCTTGCGTAGTGGTAGAGTCACCTACCCCTTTGAACTTTAAACACCACCCCGAAACTCACATGAAATTGGCAACGGGTCGAACATGGGCGCCCAAAATGGAACCCCGCCAAGTGGAACCAAGCACTAAAACCTGTCCCCTAGCTTAATTTTGACCCGTACCGGCCCATACCCATATAGGCAGCCCACCCATCCCTCTCCTCCTGCTGGATCTCAACGCCCTCCTTGGCTTCGATCGCCTGCTGCAATCCGTCGCTCCAGCTGCGGCCCTCCACCGGGCGGCCCGTGAACTCGTCCACCACCACCACCTGCCAAAAGTGCGCCTGGAGGGTGGGCTGGGTTTACAGGCCTCTGTGTGGCTGGTAGGGCAGCCATACACCATCCATGGTGAATTACGGGGGTTTCAAGCGCCGCCCTCGCAAAATGTAGGGACTCAACTGAAGGGTCCGGGTTGGGTTGGCACACCAAGCAAAAAGCAACGTGTCAGAACAAAATGGGAGGGGCATAAAGGATGCAACAGGCTTAGGCACTGGCAAGCAGTTGCAATTGTGGCATGAAGGCAACATACTAACATGTTTTTTTTGCACCTGAAGTATCTTCGGGGCTGCAAGCAAGCTGACTTGTAAGCTCGCGAGGAGTCTGATTCACATGGAGCATACCCCTCTGGGAGCTCACCCGGCAGCTGCACTGGGACACGATAGGAGCCACGAACATTCTGTTCTGGCCGCCAACACCACCCAACCGGGGTCATTATTTTGCACACGAAATCACACGAACGTTGCTGCACGCAAAGTGGTAAGCCTCTCGATGGGCCATGAGTTACTGTAATGTTTGCTGCTTCTAGAAAGGCGAAGGTAAGGACCCCTGTCCGACATCGCACTTTGGCAACACACTAGATCTACAATCAATTGGGGGATGACTCGATGAAGCTCATACAGAAACAGAACCGTTTCTATCCAGACGTTCAATCTAGGACTGATGGCCTGGCCAATCTTTGGTCAACCGCCATCCTCATCCAACCACACCTGTAAAAGCTCAGGCGAACGAGCATGCGGCACCATGGGCAAAGCTCCTAAGCGCTTCAGCTCCTTGTGGTAGACTTTCCTTGGGCAAAGAGCGGCGGGCTTTCCAAAGAAAGAAACTGGTAGCGCTGCGATGTGTACCTTGCCCCTTTGAACAGTATCTCAACAAAATCAATATCACTCTGAATTTCCCAGGTGATGGTTAAAACCACCTAACAATCCAAACAGGACAAATATAGGGGCACCTGCAAAATAAGCAACACATCAGCCGAGCTCCAAGCCTCCAACTTCTTAAACAAACTATTCATAGCTTGGACAACCTCTTGACTGTTCGTGCGGCATTGTCAACCTTCCAGCTGGCCCCAACACGTTTGGCGGGGCACGCACGCATGACGTCCTCTTGTCGCGTGGTCCCATCAGCAAAGGCGCACAGGGTCGTTGTTCAACAAAAATGCTCCCCCCCCCCCCCCAACTGTTGTTTTACAGGGAAGCCCCAAAGGAACCCCACCGTCACCAGGGGGGGCTGATTTCTGAAACGCACATACAACGAGAGTGGGCGAAGTCAAGTACTGCCAGCAAGCTCTTGAGCTCAGCGTCAGCATGGCAGCTGACTTGCCTGACTTGGATAGAGCTTGCGCGACCTGCGGACAATGGATTGTCATGAAGTTCCGTACGTCTTCAGCAGTGAAGGGGAACAATGCCGGCCCCTAAACCTGTCCCTTCCTTCAACGCGCACACATTCTTCCAGCAATTGGTGCCTGCCAACCAAATCAGAAGACATCCTCCAGTTCCAGTGAGGGACTTTGCTCAATCCTAAACCCCTTCCCGTCAAAGCCCCTCAATCCCGAGTGGTTCCCAATGCGTTGCGAGTCGTGCGGACTCGCGCCTGCTGCAGGAAGCGGTGCACCTCCTGCCGCGGCACCTCGGCCCAAAGCTTCTTCACCAAGCGACGGCACAGCGCGAAGCGCTGCTCTAGCTGCGGCGCCTGGCGAGGCAGCTGGGGGCTTACGGGGGCCGAAAAGGGAGCCCCTAGACGAACCAAGAAAAAAACCTCCAAACAATCATGGCTTTTTCAGCTCCACATGTTCCACGTGAATCTGTAGGGGGTGAGTTGTACCCAACCGCCACGCAGATCAAAACAGCTTTCACGGGCAATCTATTTTATCTAAAGGTGGATTCCAGCACCCCCAAGCAACTACGACCAGGCAAACAAATACATAGACATTCTGATAAAATTTAATGGATCTTCCCCCGGGTCTTGGTTTGGGGTATCGGCTTTGCAGTTGCGCAAAACAAACCATCTCAGCATACCTGGTGTCATGATAACAGCAATGGCTACGCGCAGCCGCATGGTATTGATGATGCCTCCGATGGTGATTGATAGCAGCTGTGAGGGTGACATGGCGAGGCGACCAGGGTAACCCTGCGACGACGGCGATGCAGCGGCATGTCACTCACGGCGACAACGAGGACAACGGCAGCGACAACGACCGTGCTAACGACAGCGACGGCAATCTCGATATGCACCCGCGAACAGCGAAGTGATTTTTAGGATTGAGCGTGTCCCCCTCTATGTGTTTCTAAGGAAAGGCTGGGCACAATCCGCCCTTGAACGACTTTAATGCTGGGCGTTGTGCGACTTTGTGGCTTTGGGGAGACGCTCATGTTACTGGATGGTGGGCCAACCCAAACAAGTCCTGGACTGACATCATGCTGAACAAGTTCGCCAAAACCCAGAAATTCCGCTGAACCCTACCGACCCAGCATGCATCACCTGCATCTTCGGGCCCAATTCCGGACGAATTCCAATAATCCGCCAACCCAAGACCAGGGTTCTTACTGTTCCCTAACAAGGCCTTCCTGGTTGGCGAGGACGCGACACCAAAACCGATATCATTGTTCATCCTCGGTACCTAACTTGCTCTTCGCTTGCTTTGCCCGGCCTCGGCGGGCTCCTGAGCTTCATGGTAAGTTCTCTGATAGTCGAGTCGCCACCGCAAAAGCTGCAGCTTCAGCTGCCGCAGAGTCTGCATGTCCTGCACAGCAGTGCCTTCAAGCTGGTTTCGCCGCGCTATTGGAAAGGTCATGAGATTGAAAGTGCGACCAGGATGTTCCGTGACTCGCTCTGCAAATAATTCAAGTCTCGACTTCCAAGTGGCCAAATTTGTTTCACAATGGTCAAAGTCACCCCCAAGTGGTTGGCCAAGGGGACGCAACCACAGTTTCTGACTTTGATGACCCAGAGGCACAGTCAACACCCCAATCCAATCAACCCGTAGCGACCCGGCGCAGACATGGCCAAGGAGCACATGTTGGCATATGAGGCATATGTCATCCACCAAGTTTGTCAGCCAAGCAAGGCCCATGTCCGAGCGCTGAGAAAAGCTTTGCCAGGTGTCAGTGGCAAACTATCAATAGGAACATACGAGCTATCATGCGGTCATCATATGCAGTCCTTTCGACTCCAAACAGCTCTCAGGATCATGAGATCATTGGGATTTCAACGTGCTCCATTTGCACGATTGCTCTGCAACTTGCTGAAACTGCTGGCCGAACCCCATATGCTGACTGGCTTGGCACTGACTTTCAGTGATTGCAGAGAAACCGAGCCGCCACACCGAAGGATGGCAGATGCATGCCCTTTGTTCACAAAACGTGTCATACGATCGACTCAAACGGAACCCAGTAAACATCCCGTACTTCAGTGGGTGAATCTGCTGTTTGAGTTCCATGTTAATTTGCTGGGGGGGGGCATCTACTGGGACCACCCGCTCCTCAAAGCGCTTGCGCCGAGCTTGGAGCTGCGTCTCAAAGAGCTGCCGCTGCTGATCCTGCAAGCCCGTGCCCCACGTTACCGTGGCTCAGGGTCCAATCGGGCAAGCTCAATTTTATTGTAGTGGCGAGATATGGGAGACTGCAGACAAAGCCAAGAAATGACACCAATCCACCAACTCACAGCGCCAACTGACAAAGAGTTAAAGTAAAGGGTAAAGGATGGCAAAGGATTTGACGGTTTGTTCACGCAAACCATGGCTCATGGATGAAGGTCGTGCGCAAGGCCAACAAAGCGGCGGCAAAGGCCACCCGTTTGATGCCTCAAAGCGCCAGGCGGACTCCAAGGAATCCTCCGTGCGGCGCGCCTCCTGCGGATGAAGGTCCATTGGTCCACTGGTCCCCTCGACTCAGGGCCAGCCGCTCATTGACCAGCAGTGGATTAACTGATATTCGCTGATGGCTCGGTCTGACATGCTTAGTGTCTGGCCCTTGTATGGTGAACTTTGAATTGTAAATTCATGTCAAAGGAGGCAGACAATGGAGGTAGTCGCACAAAGGCATTGAAGCTCAAGGGAAACGCCCGACCATGGCTGAAGCCGAGCTGCAAATATAAATTTTGACACCGAAGCTGTGTGGGAAATCAAGGCTATAGTTTATTTCTCCGGCTGAGGCCACTTTGGTGTATCCCATGACAGCAGCCAAGAAGACTGAAACTCAAACAAATCGTTGGCCACTGAGCCTTTCATCTTGATCCAGCTCTGCAAAATTTGTCTTGCAAGTTGCTCTTGAATACCGCCCCATCGCAGCTGCCCAAAACGACTAACTCTGAACTTGCGCCCCTGCCTCAACAATCCAACAAAGAGAACGCTGCTTTGAGAAGGCACGCCAACTCGGCGAGACCACATATACCAGACTTCAATGCCAGCCTCTGCAGAGATGTCCTCCAGCTGCTGCTTGGCCTCCTGGAAAGGGCATTGCCACAGGAAGGGTCACAACAACGTTCCCCCCCAACCAACATGTGCAAACATGTTCGTGCCAGTGTTCATGCCATTCACCCACTTAAGCCTTAGAAGGCTGGGTGAGGCGACCTGAAAGAACATGGAATAGCCTTCCGCCACTCCCAAGGAACGCTCCTGGAACTTGAGGTCCCTGAAACAGAGTGTTCCTTTCCACTTCGAGGAGACCTTCCAATGGCTTTCATTCTGGTGGAAGGAATCCAAAATACCAAGCAAGACAAACACAATACATTCTGAACTATGTCCTCCATGGGAGGTCAGCACACATCAACAAGAATATCCATCGCAATCTCATGACAAAATTGTAGCTATCTATTTGTTTTGGAGAGGGGTCTCAAAACAAAACCTCCTCTCTGACTTAACACCTATGGTGCAAGAGGTGCACAGGTACCCACCTTCAGGAGGCAAGCCCTCACATTCCCGCAATTGCTCACCTGCAAACTAATACGGAGACGCTGCAGAAGCCAAACGAAGATGCCCTAATATGATGGCGTT